ATGTATGATCTGAGAGGTCTTGTTTGGTCTCTTTTGAATTGTAATGATTGAGAAAAATACTGTATCACAGTAAAAACATACATTCAAATATATATGTAGATTTTATCATTGTGCAACTTTCATAGTCATAGGTTCGGATCTCAGAGATAGCCCCCCCCCAAAAAAAAATCACACCCGCCCAAAATGTGTGGAAACCGCGGCATTAGACTAAAGCCAACCAAAAAGAGAGAGTTTAAACTGCTGTTACATCCTCTTCAAATACCGGGGAACCTCAGTAATACATAATAACATTGTGTAGTTCCAAGCCAGGTCCCTAGGAACAGGGGGTTTATTCATAATTATTACATGAAGTCTGGTGAACATGGCATGTGCAGCCCGTTTCTCCTAGTGGGTCAGTTAATCCTCAATATTACTCAGTGAGTCGAGCTGTGCGATGATTACTGAATGAAATGGCTTCATGAAATAGTGCGGATACAAGAAGTACCTGGTGCAGCCTGGCATATAAAGTGATTTGGCATGCGGCAGTTTTCGTCGTTCCACTTGTCTTTCTGGGATAACATTGAGGAGTAAGAGACGCAATCTTCTTTGCCCAGAAAGTTGTTCGGTTCTCCAAGACCCCAGGAGTTGTACGATCCAAGTGCAGACCCGTCCCACCCACCCAAACCTTCCCTCTCTGCGCTGATCGTGCAGACCGATCCAGAAGCGCCAACCGTCGCTCACGGACTTGTGCAGGGAGATCAGGAAGGCGTTGGTCTCGGCGTCTCGGGGCATGGCGAGGGTGCCGCTGTCTGCACGACAGGCTGCCGCCGCTTCGCTGTAGGTCTTCATTTTGTTGAAGGCCTTGTAGCAGACTTCACGCCACATTGTGTAACCTTCAGGGCAAGATACTGGAAAACAAGTTTTGTATCAAAAACAGGCCAAATATGGGTCATGTTGAAAATGATAACATACATGCAACATAAGCAGGTAAACTGTGTTTAAAATGCCAAATGCACCCACCCTCTTCGAATACCGGTAACCAGATTAATACATAGTAGTACATGTATAATGACATCGCCAGGTCCCTAACAACAGGTGTTTTGAAGTTTGGGGAACATTGCACGTGCAAATCTGATTATTTATCCCATTTATTTAGTACAGAAAAACATTTCACTGTAAAAAAACCTGCTAATCGATATTATGTGGATAAGTGTATATAATTTGTTCGTCCCATTTTTCCACCTTATGTGCCACCAAAATCTTTGTATGGTAAATTTGTATGGCATAGCACCCCTGTTATCTCATTGATTTACCAGAAAGAGAATTTAATGGGATAACAGAGATGCTGTCCCATTAATTTACCATATAGAGAACCATATAGCAAAGTTTTTGGTGGTATAATTGGATAGACCTTTCTACATATAGCTATCCTGTTTTTAAAGACAAATTTTTTCAGTACTAAATATATTGGACAAATAACCAAAGCTGCATGTGCAGCCCCTGTTTCTCCTAGTGAGTCAGTTAATCCTCGCTGTTAGTGAGTCGAGCTTGTTTCAATCATGATGTTTAATTTCTATCTTAAGCTGGAGTCACATGTGAAACGGGGCCTGCTAGGCATGTTCTCGGTGTAGATGCCGACCGGCGTCATGAAGCCGAGCGTGCGCCGGCTGTTAGGGGTCACAATTAAATGTCCCTTTACGGCTCCTCCGGTTCTGTTAGGGACCCGTCCGGTGCCCGGTCAGTCTCCTGTCTTGACCCGTGCGGGATGCGGTAGGGTGCACGTGCTGACTGGTTCTTGAATTCCGGCAGGGCTGCTACAGGGTCCCTGGCGGGGTCCAAGGGTGATCCTAGCGAGTCCCTGGCTGGTACGCCCCTGGCTGGTATGGTGGGTTCGCCACTATTCAAAATGCACAGACCCGTTTGTGGTTATTACGACTCACTGATGATGGAGCTATGTCGAGAACATCGCAATACCCTCTATAACCACCATCTTCTAAACAATTAAAGCACAGATCAGCACACGTGCATAATCTTGGACAGCTGCCTGTGCGGCCGCCTGGCGGGACCCGGCGGCTAGGTTACGGCTTGGTCCGGTGAAGTTACGACGTTGCATCGGCGTACCTTGCCGGACGGGGTTCGAAGTCTACACTAAGAACATGCCGAGCACGCCCCGTTGGAAATGTTACTCCAGCTTGAGGCTCGTTCTCATTGAATTTTACAGAATACAGGTAACGGTCGCGGAGGTTACAACATCATCTCACTTTGGTTTTTTTTCTCCAACAAGATCTACAGTTTTTAGCTTCATCTTTTATGAGCGGTGGCAACAAACACGACCTACTTAATACACAGCACACATTAATAGTATCAGTAGAAGAAATCTGTTTACAAAGTGTAAGTTGAATGGCATATTCAAGTAATTCTCTGTCCTACCTTTGTTGAAATAATCCTTATGTCCTACCTTTGCTGTTGGGCTTTCCTTCATTCAGCATTGCCTTGATGGTGCCGTGGATGTGAGACAGGGGCGGTTCTTCTGCCTGTTCGTGGCCCTTCTTGGCCTCCGCGGCCCCCTGGCCAGCCTCCGCGGCCCCCAGTTTGCCAGCCTCCGCGGCCCCCTGGCCAGCCTCCGCGGCCCCCTGGCCCAGCCTCCGCGGCCCCCAACTTGCCAGCCTCCGCTGCCCCGTGGCCAGCCACCGCGGCGACCACAGTCAGCAGGACAGACAGTATGATCACGGTCAGCACTCCCATGGTTACACTACCTTCTGTAGCTGGTGCTAAGGTTTTAGATAACTGCTACACTGTACAGGATGCGGACTGCAGTGTCTTCTTACTGTTGTAACACACTGACTTCTCACCACTCTTACATGAGTTAAAGAAGTCGTCTAGAAGTGGTCCTCGGGGCACAATCTTGCCGGGCTTTTAAAGAAAGGCTTTGTTAATTTCATTATTGTTTTCAAATTTCCCACCAGAAATCCCATTTCTGCCTAGTAGTAACCTTGTTTCCGATCGTTCTTATGACTTGAATTTAATATATACATGTGTAAGCCCCTAATTTTTGCTACATTTCTTTTACTTAATTCTTATGATTAGGTTGCCCGTGCCTGTTCAATAGGGTAAGTAGAGACCACCTACGTGTATATGAAAATGCCACTGAGATCTTGAGTGGTGATGTGGGTGTATGCCTGATCTCAATCATTGTATAGTCAAACCTGTAGAAATATTTACCTCTATCTTCGCAAGGATCTCCTGGTCACCGTGTCCACTTTTTGTAGTGGTCCCTTATTACCTTCACCTAGAAGGTTTTTCTTCTCGTGTGTGTGTTTGTCTGTCTGTTGACACGATAACTCGAGAAGGTTTAACTTGATTGTCTTGATATTTGGTAATTTGGTAGGTCTTGATGAGACCTCAAAATGATTAGATTTCAGACCCCCTAGCGGCTTGGTACAGTGTTGCACCAGAAATTCCGGTTTTAATATCTCATTATCTAGACATGCTAGGGTCACGAAATTTACATTGTGGGTAGCTCTTGTGCTGGCCAGGAAGTGACACGAGTTTGGGCTAACTAGCAGCTTACCCTGGAACTGCAGGAGCCTTTGTTGAAAAATACTCCGGTAGAGGGATCTTTGTTATTTTTGGTTTGCAAGTAGATGCCTGACATAATTAGATGACAATTGTGCAAATAAGGATCTAATTTCCATAAGTAATGGGAATTGTATAATGCCACTGCGTTCCATGATAGGACTAGTCAAACTTGTGTGATATGTAATTGAGAACAAAAGGAAACCAGCAAATATAAATTTTGTAAATGAAGACCTAATTCATGAGAAAATCATTTATGAGAAAATGTCATAATTCCATAGTTGTAACTGCTGGGAACTTCATACTTGCAGAATTTGGAAGTTGAATGAAGGTGGACATTATACATATATTTTTCAAAACAGAACCTCATTTGCATAACCTATAAGGAAATGTTAGAATTGCATTCCTTGTTAGGATAAAACTGTCATTTTCTAACCTCAAATACATGCATGATACGAGTATAAGACCTGGATGCATGCTCATGTACGAGCAATACCGTTCGTAACATGGCCTTACTTCTTGGTAATGTTGCCAACCCAACCCAAGATAAGTTACATTGGTAGCTGCATTATCAGTACTAGTGTTCGAACTGTTTCAAGTTGTCTGCTCTGTGTATTGTTGTAGAATTTTGTTTTTTTGATGTGTTTGTGTTTGGTAACTATGGTAACATGAGAGTGTAACTTTAAAGGATTAATTCCGGGGTTGAATCAGTATCATGATCATGAGATATCAAAACCGGGAGTTCTGGTGCAGTACCATAATAAGCCGCCAGGGGGTCAGAAAGCTTATCATTTCGAGGCCTTATCAAGACCTACCAACATACCCAATATCAAGACAATCCACATAAACCTTCTTAAGTTATCCTGTTAACAAACAGACAAGCACACACACGAACGTCTCCGAAGAAAAACCTTCTTGGTGAAAGTAAGAATAGACCACTACAAGAAGTGGCCACGATGACCAGGTGATCCTTGTGAAGATAGAGGTGGCTACTTGTACAGGTCTGACTGTGCAATGATTGAGAGCAGCCATACACCCACATCACCACTCAAGATCTCAGTGGCATTTTCATATACACGTAGGTGGTCTCTACTTACCCTATTGAACAAGCTTGGGCAACCGAATTATAAGAATTGAGTTAAACAAATGTAGCAAAAAGTAGGGTCTCAAACATTCATGTAAGATCAAGTCACGAGAACGACCGAAAACAAGGTTACTGATAGGCAGCAATGGGATTTCTGGTGGGAAAATTGAACACAATAATGAAATTAATGAAGCTTTTCTTTAAAAGCCCGGCAAGATTGTGCCCCGAGGACCACTTCGACGACTTCTTTAACTCATGTAAGAGTGGTGAGAAGTCAGTGTGTTACAGCAGTAAGAGGACACTGCAGTCCGCATCCTGTACAGTGTAGCAGTTATCTAAAGCTACAGAAGGTAGTGTAACCATGGGTGTGCTGACCGTGATTATACTACCTGTCCTGCTAACTGTGGTCGCCGCGGAGGCTGGCAAGCTGGGGGCCGCGGAGGCTGGCCAGGGGGCAACGGAGGCTGGCAAGCTGGGGACCGCGGAGGCTGGCAAGCTGGGGACCGCGGTGGCTGACCAGGGGGCCGCGGAGGCTGGCCAGGGGGCCGCGGAGGCTGGCAAGCTGGGGGCCGCGGAGGCTGGCCAGGGGGCCGCGGAGGCTGGCCAGGGGGCCGCGGAGGCCAAGAAAGGCCAAGAACAGGCAGAAGAACCGCCCCTGTCTCACATCCCCGACACCATCAAGGCAATGCTGAGTGAAGGAAAGCCCAACCAAGAACAGGCAGAAGAACCGCCCCTGTCTCACATCCCCGACACCATCAAGGCAATGCTGAGTGAAGGAAAGCCCAACAACAAAGGTAGGACAGAAGGGTTACTTCAACAAATGTAGGACAGAAGTATCACTTGAACAAAGGTAGGACAGAAGAATTACTTCAATATGCCATTCTTCTTACACTTTGATCACTAAGAGTTTTCTTTACTCGGTGGTCAGTTGTGGCGAGGTAACTTTGTATGCTCCACCTCTACTACAGAGGATGAATGATGATGATGATGATGATGGTCACCATAGCCCGGATGGCCACTGCAAGGTGTGACATGAAGTCCACAGCAAGGTTCCGGGCTACAAGAATCAGGCTATCTTCTAAGTCAGAAACATCATGATTGAAAGAACCTGACCCACTAGGAGAAACAGGGGCTGCACATGCAGCTTTGCTTATTTGTCCCATTTATTACGAAAAAAAACTTGTCTTTGAAAACGTGCTAACTACTTGTACATGGGGTAGCTATAGGTAGAAAAGTCTATCCCATTATACAACCAACAACTTTTCTATATGGTTCTCTATATGGTAAATTAATGGGACAGCATCTCTGGTATCCCATTAAATCTCTTTCTGGTAAATTACGAGTAGCTCTCCATCAACAGATACCGGGAACCTTTTGTTCCACCTATATCCATGAATGGCAACGAGTTGCCGGAGAATGATAGTCTCCGTCTCCTCGCCGGTCTTATTCTCTCCAAGGATTTGTCCTGGAGATACTTCATCGAATCCATAGCCAAATCAGCAGATATGAAAGTAGGCTCACTGCTTCGAGCCAGAAACTACCTCACCCCTGCAAGTATTTTGTATCTGTACAAATCCACCATCCGTCCTTGCATGGAGTATTGCTCGCATCTCTGGGCTGGTGCCCCAAAAGATTGCCTACGTATTTTAGACCGCATTCAAAGGAGAATCTGTGTTGCCATCGGCCATTCTCTGGCCGCAAAGCTGGATTCCCTCTCACACAGACGCAATGCCGCATCCCTATCCCTCTTTTACAGATACTTTCACGGTCAATGTCCAGGAGACTTGCACTTCTTGTTCCGCCGCTCAAAACCTTTCAGCGTGCCACTAGGTTCTCTTCATGTTCTCATCGATACACCGTTAACATACCTGTCTCTAAGTTATTTTACAACAACAGCTTCTTTCCTCGGACTGCAAAATTATGGAAGTCTCTTACAAACAGATGATTTCCGTCCGACTACAATCCACAAAGCTTCAACACAAAGGTCCACCGCCATCTCCTGACAAAACTACATTATACTCACTTAAGTACCTCTAACTCTATGCCTAAAAGTGGCCAAAAATAATTGGCCTTGCATTGAGCGACACCGTTAAAAAATAATGAAATAACAGGGGTGCTATGCCATTAATTTACCATATAAAGATTGTGATGATACATAAGGTTAAAAAATGGGACGAACAAATTGAATACAGTTATTCACATAATATCGAATAGTTTTTTACAGTGAAATATTTTTCTGTACTAGCTAAATGGGATAAATAATCAGATCTGCACATGCCATGTTTTCCAGACTTCATAACTTCATGAGGAAAACCCCCTGTTGTTAGGGACCTGGCAAGGTATCATACAATATAGTTATGTACTATTGAGGTTACCTGTATTCGATGGGGTTGGGTGTATTTCGCCTTTTAAACACAGTGTTTAACTTCATATGTTGCGTGTATGTCATGATTTTCGACTTGATCCATATTTGGCCTGTTTTTGGCATTGTCGCAGCTAACTGAAACCCTGTCTGAATTGCAAAGTTATTTGATCACAACCATTTATTTTCAAAAATAAGTGGTGGTAGCACGAGCCGACGTTTCAAAGACCGTCTGTCATCTTCATCAGGACAATTCTGACTGGTTTACTGTGCACTGACGGTAGATGTTACTTGGTGCATATTGCACTAAAGGTGTTACATAGTTCACAGTGCACTGTTACTTGGTTCACATTGCACTAAAGCTAGTTTTTACTGTTAACAATGCATTTCCGAACGTAGTGCAAGTGTGCACAGTAAACCAATCAGAATTGCCCTGATGAAGATGACAGGCGGTCATCGAAACGTCGGCTCGTGAAAAATAAATGGTTGTGATCAATTGCCTTTGCTATTATTTCGTTTACCAACCTGATGAATTTATTTACGGATAAAACCCTGTCTATTCTACCCCAGAACGGATCATGGATAGTGAAGCACCCCAAGGCGCCTTGAAACGACACCGAGACAACCTGCGCCAACTGTCCGCCACTGTTCAAGCCTTACAACGCGACCAAGATGCCTTGAAACGAGACCAAGACGCCTTGAAACGCAACCAAGACGCCTTGAAACGCGACCAACACGACATGCGCCGACTGTCCACTACTGTTGACGACTTGAAACGCGACCAACACGACATGCGCCGACTCTCCACCATTGTTGACGACTTGAAACGTGACCAACACGACATGCGCCGACTGCCCACAATTGTTGATGCCTTGAAACGCAACTACCACGACATTCGCCGACTGTCCACCACTGTTGACGCCTTGAAACGCGAACTGGACAACGAGAAGCGTCGTCACAAAATTGGACAGACTTTAAGTAAATTGGTTTTCAGCTGTTATGTTGACTAATTCTGATGGTCTTTTTTCCGCCACCATTAGCTTAAAAACACTTAATGCGGGGCACTGGTATCTATGTTGGGAGGCTAGGTTTATTTCGCCTTTTAAAAACAGTGTTTAACTGCATATGTTGCATGTGGGTCATGATTTTCAACATGATCCATATTTGGCCTGTTTTTCATACAAAACGTGTTTTCCAGCATCTTGTCCTCGGAGTTACACAATGTGGCGTGGAACCTGCTACAAGGCCTTCAACAAACGAAAGTCCTTCGACAAAGCTGCCGCGGCATGTCGTGCAGACGGCGGCACCCTCGCCATGCCCCGAGACGCTGGGACCGACGCCTTCCTCATCTCCCTGTACAAGTCCGTGAGCGATCACTGGAACTTCTGGATCGGCCTGCACGATCAGCGCGAAGAGGGAAGGTTTGAGTGGGTGGACCGTTCTGCACTTGGGCCGTACAGCTCCTGGAGTCCGGGAGAACCGAACAACTTTTTCGGAATGCAAGATTGCGTCTGTTACTCCGCAAAGCCATCCGAAAAAGACAAGTGGGACGACCAACCATGCTTCATGCTGAATTACTTCATATGCCAGGCTGCACCAGGTACTTCTTGTATCCGCACTATTTCATGAAGCCATTTCATTCAGTAATCATTGTGCAGCTTAAGTACATATCTGGATAAGGTGGCAGACCATCATTTGGCGAACCAAATCATTTCTAATCCCTTTTAATTCGGCTCGGTTTTTTTTTTCAGGACGTCCATAGGCGACAGGCGGGACTCTCACCACTACTGTACAACGGCTCTCCGACCATCCGCAGTAAAACTAACTAGAAAAACCTAAGACCGGGAAATATAGCATTGGTTTAGATCCTTTAGATCAACATTTTTTCCTACAAGTTTATTCTACATGGGAAAATAGAATGTTATGAAACAGTACTGTAACACTTCAGTTTCCAGATGTAGACTTTGGCACGTCTTATATATTTTTTTGCCATTTTACAAGGCCCACAATGTCCTCCTGATGACAGAATCATCTCAAGTTACCTTGATGAGAAACAATGAAACAGTTTAAAACCACTGTAACAATCAGGAATGTAACAATGTAACAGTTTAATACCATTGTTAAGTTGTCTGTCATTGATACTGTCGTTAACATTATTAAGACTGTTTAAGATTTTACGCTTTTTGGCTATTTCCACAATAAAAAGAACTACTATGGTTCAATGCGGATCTATGATTTTTGAACTGTGTGAGTGTGACAAGAAGGTTGGGTGTTTTGTATTTGATACTAACGCAATGAAATATTCATGCATGAAGCAAACGTTTGTCTCTACACGCAAAAAAATACTGAATTAATGAAGCATATCACGGTGGTCAATTTCTAGGGTAAAGTTTCCAATTCTACGGAGGGGTATCAGGTTACCGGGGTTCCACGCGCGGCATCTGTGGTGCCAGTCTCAACGGTAAACATTTTGTTAAGCAATAATTAACAGTTTCACGGCGACTCCCTTGTCCAAATGTGATAAAATCAGCACTGCATATACCTCATATGATGTTGTTTTTATTACAACGCTTAAATGTGTGTGAAATCACTCTCAACGCGTAGAATGCTTATTCTAGAACAATCGACGTCAATAACCAAACAACTGATTTAAACCGACCCCAAATCTCCCAGAAAATACCACATTATTGCATTTTAGAGAACAGTATAACAAAATTAAGATTTGAGTCGGACAGATTTCTTTATTTCAAAGTTAAAGTGTTGCTAAGGCCTAAAAATTCGCCAAAAAATGCAGTTTTTCAACTTCCAAGACCGATAATTCCAGAATGCCGCCATCTTAAAAAAATCCGTCCGACACAGATCGAGATTAGTGTTTTGCTAACATTTTAAAATGTTTCTGAGGGAAATTGAATTTGTTTTTGTTGCGGTTTAAATACTATGTTTGCAAGCATGTCAGGCAGTGTGAGTAAGTACAGGGGGTAACTTATATCCCCGTAAACAACAATTACGATCGTCAAGGTCACACACGATGACGGCGGTAGCTTCGTTACATGTTACATATCAACTATAAAACAGGGCATAGATGTACTGTCCCGAAATTGGTTTATATTTGTGAAAATGTTGATTTTTTACTGTTAGGTGGTACGCGTGTAAAAACGGGCTTGAAGCCGCGGGTTTACGGTACGCGACCGCAGGTGACCCCGGATCGAACGAACGTTCGGTTCGATTTACGTCATATCGAAAATGATTCGATTCGAATGACGTCATATCGAACATGATTCGGTTCGATTAAAAGGTTGGAATATTTGGGCCCAAATTTGACCATCGTGTATTACGTAATGGAAAAAAGAACTAAAATTTATTTATTCGTTTTAATATGTACACTAATGAAATATTTGACCCACGGCCGTTGCTAATTAATTTACGAGGTAAACATTATATGGGGGGGGGGGGTCCAAAGTAACGTTGCGTTGTGCTTCTTATTTTGTATATAAAGAACGGTCGACGAAGAGAACACTTGGAAGAGTTGTGTAAAGAACTTTATTTTCCTTTCCGTCCCACATTGTATCTATCTTCAGCTATCTCTTGGCCTTGAAACAAACTCGTTGAAGAAAGATGACATATTTCATATTAATGTTTTATTTCTTAAAGCTTTCATGACAATGTGTACATTCCTTTGAACATGAAGTATGTACAACACTGGAAACAAAGTCTTAAAATTGGTTAATTTCTTCTCCGTCTTGTAGACTCAAATTGACTCTAACATCCTACAAGCAGGTCAGACACTTAATCATGGGGATAATATCCACAGTGCCCACCTCAAATGTAGCTACATATTCTTTAGAAAACATTCACTGGGCGAAAAGGCCTCGGATGCAGCCGGATCCCAAGGATCCCAATTTGCATCACCTTACGGATGCTGCGCAGATCCCTAAAAATACCCAGAATTGCGGATCTCACACCAAGAATCCCCAGGATTGCGGATCCCACACACATCCGTAACGCATACGTATGCATCCGTGCCTCACAGCGGATGCAGATGCGGCATTCGTAAGGATACTTACTTCGCAGCGGATGCAGACATGGCATCCGTATGGATACTTGCTGGTTACGTATATACTTAACCCTAAACAGTACACCTGGGGTCCGCGCGGACCCCAGCACTATATATTCTGTAGTATCTTTTTTGTTTCTAAAGATTTTTTTCTGAAATTTTAGGTAATTGTCACCCACAAAGTTGTCTCTCAATACAGTGCAGAAAACTCCGTTTCTACCATTTATAAAAAAAATTATATCTGATTTTCTTTTGGGGTCCGCGCGGACCCCAGCCGGCTTTCGATCATAATGAATACACTGGCGTTCTTATACATTACCTTATTTCCGTTTTTATATGATTTTATGCACTCATCGTATGTCTACCAAGTTTTCAGAGAATGGTGTAGTAATAGAATTAAATTTTAATAACTTTGGTGTAATTATCACGTCATATGACGTCAGAGCTAACAATATAGTCCGCCATATTGGATTTTGACCAATGACGTCATCAAATTAGCATATTCTATGCATATTAAATGATTTAACTTATATTTAATTATGTAAGATGTTATTACTTTTGGAAAAGAAGTGTAATTTAATATAAAACTCAGAAAATTTTTATGTTTAAACCAAAATTACTTCTATTTTCAATAAAACTGCCTGCAAGAAACCCGTTGCCATGGCAACACAAAAAAACATTAACTTACTAGTATTAAACTAATATGAACTTTTTTTCCAGAGACATTTTAGGTAAGGTCTCCAAATTTGATACTTCTAGCGCAAGCCGTTTAGCCGCTATCTGAGATCAAAGTTGGGCCTCAAAAGCCCCTTCAGTCTGAAATGGGTTTAAAAATCGGGTATTTCTTCTTGTCTTCTTTTCTTCACCAAAAAATAGAAAAAGTTCAAAATGTATGATTTTTGTATGTAATGTGGACACAGAGGTTCCCACATCAGTTTGCAAAACAATTGAACTGGTATCATCTTGATAATTTCTAAAAATTAGCAAAAAACTGATCTGGGGTCCGCGCGGACCCCAGGTGTACAGATTAATCAGTCCTGGAAGGTGTTCTGTTGAGGGTTAAGAAATAAGACGTTGTTAGGATAGCAACATTCCACATCTTTAGGGGTCATATCCTGCCATATTTGTGTACCTCGGATACCACCGTTTGTAAGATAAATATGTGAGATACTCCATTATACACTGGATACAAGGATACTTGTATTCCTGTTTTTTTTTAATCCCACTC